TCGCTGGAAGCTGCTGGCGGGTTTGGGGGCTCTGTCCCTCACCCCAGGCCTGGATGCTGGGCTCCCCCTGCATAGGTATTTTTATTTTTAAAATGGATTGTGTACAGAAGAGCTCCGGCCCACCGATCTCAAAGCAATAGGGCTGCATGGAGCCCAGAGCAGAGTCCAAAGGGGACTGCAGGCCATGCCGACAGATCAGGCTGCTGGCTGGGGGGTGGAATGCAGGACAAGACTTCAGCCAAGGGAAGAACCTTTCTGCTCACTGGCAATGGTGGTTTTCCTGTGGCTGGAGAGGGCAGGCTCCAAGCGCTCTCACTAAATCAGGCAGGTTTTAGGCAGGGAAGAGCAGGCAAGCGCCGCCCCACAGCACAAGGGGGCCGTGTTCTAAGCAGCAACAGAAAAGCAGCCGGCTGAACTGAGAGAGGCGCAGCAGCTGGAAGGGGGAGGGGGCGCTCGCTCTTTGGTTCACTGATTCTCGGAGCCTTGAGCTGCGTGGCGAGAGGAGAGAAATGGCCCAGAAAGCAACCTGCTCGTGGGGGTTTATTGTAGGTTTATTCCCAAACGCAGAAGGATCCTTGAACAGTAGCACACACCAGGCACCCTACAGGGTGTTAGAAATACGCGGGCTGGCAGGCAGGAGGGCGAGCGGAAGGGAACGAGCATTTCGGCCTCTGATGGCCAATTACAAGCTGGAACACCCCTCCGGGGACACCTCGCCTGAGGCTGTGAACTCAGCTTGCGTCCCACGGCAGCAGCACGCCTGCCCAGGCCTCCAGGAGGGCGTGGACAGCAGAACGCCGCTGTGATACCTGCTCAGGGCAGGCTGGGTTGAGGGGCGCTGGCTATGGGGCACTGTGGGGAAGGCTCCACGCCACACTATTTGCGGTTTTCCCCAAGCACTAAACGCCACCTCTTCCCCCGGCAGCAGAAGCACCTTGTCTCCAGCACTGCTCCAGCCACTTCCCTTCGCAGCCATGAGGAGAGGGGGTAAATCTAGGAAGACGCCCCAGTTCAGGGCTGCGTTCCCACTGGGATCCGTGCACTCCCCGCCGACAGCCCCTCCCAGCTGCACGCGGCCTCAGACGAAAGGACCGATCCCAACAGGACGGAGGCAGGAATCGGCTGCTGCAACGTTTTGTCTGCAGAGCGAAGGCAGCTGAACCGGTTGGCTTCGACGTCTCCCCATGCTGCAGATGATCCTGCCAGATAAGGCTGCATAAGGACCCTCCTTCCCCCTTTTATCTAGCAAAAATAGTTACGCCTCCCCTCTAGATTTAGGAACATGGCTTCCGAACCCCCTGGGGTTTGTAACTCGCGGCAGGCAGCACCTCTGCGGCATACACGGTGATGCAGGGCAGCTTCTCAGGTGGGGTTAGGAGGTGAAGGCCCACGACATGGAAGCCGCTGCCCACACCGGAGGCAGGCGCATCGAGCGGCTGTGGGGCTCTGCTCCAGTTCCAGTACGCGGGACGTTTCGTTTGCCTGGAGTCCAGGACTCGCTCCCAGCCCCAAGAGCAAGTGGAGAAATGGACCCGCTACTGGGCCCCAAGAAAACCATCAACCTCTCAGCTGGGCTTTATGAGAATAAAAAACTATGTCCTGGAACAGTAGAAAAGATCCGAGCAGGCATCAGCAGGCATCGGGGACCCACAATCCCGCGGGAGCCGGAGACAGCAGCACCCCAAACGCACCCGGTGCTGGGGGAAGCTGGCGCTCAGGCTGCTCTTGGGAAGGAGACACTGCTAGACTCCTGGGCCGCTCCAAGGCTGCTCCTTTGCAATCGCATTGCCCTGGCCCGGAGAACAGGCAGGATCCCTGCGTCCAGAGACGGTCCACGGCGAGCACTGGCGAGCTCCCCCGGGCTTCCCCTCACCCAGCCTCGCATTCACAAAGCGGCAATGGCTTTGGCAGCCACCCGGCGACCCAGGGGCAGGCTGAGATCCGTGATGGCCAGGACAATTTTGGGACTGGACATGGTGGACACTTTCACCAGCTCTGACACCTGTCCGGAGAGAGGGGAGGAGAAAAACGAGTGACCGATGGCGGCGCTGGCGTTGCCCGTGGCGGAGAGAGGGCTCAGAATGGCACACGGCCGAAAGTTACCGCACGCGGTGGGACACGAGCCAGACCAGGAAAGGGAGGGGACCCTGCTGGCAGAGGGTTACATACAGGACTCTGCACCCAACCATAACCTCGCTGCAACATATGGGGCTGCTCCTCGGTACCAGCACTAAGGATGTTAAAACGTGACGAATTGATTAGTCGACTAGTCTAGTGTTTCTCAACCTTTTCTTATAAAGTACCCCTTGGTAAGTAAAACCTATGGTTTTCAGACACACGTTTTTTTCTGTCATTGCAACACATATTTGTTTAAACAACTTAATTGTAGCCGGGTGGGCGATGACATTTTTGGGTGTAAAAAGTACAAAAATAAGGAAGCGCTGTGAAACTTACAACAAAAATTCAGTTTTCTCCAAATTTCAGTTGTGTTGATGTATCCCCCAGACTTCTCTGGAGTGCCCCTAAGGGGACTGAAGCAAAATACAGGACTATGTAGCACTTTAAAGACTAACAAGATGGTTTATTAGATGATGAGCTTTCGTGGGCCAGACCCACTTCCTCAGATCAAATAGTGGAAGAAAATAGTCACAACCATATATACCAAAGGATACAATCAAAAAAATGAACACACATTGAAAAGGACAAATCACATTTCAGAACAGGAGGGGGATGCGGGAGGGTGAGGGGGGGAAGGAAGGAAGGAAGGAAGCAGACACTATTAACACTTGCTGAGATGGCCGAACACTTCATTATCGGCTATAAAGAAAATACTGGACTTATGACAAAGTCAGCCTTGGGTTTGACATGTACACAGAGTAATCAATTACAATTATCAGAAAGAAGGGGCATTATTGTTGAACCTGCCTGGTACAAAAATCAGAAATTTGATTTGTCCTTTTCATATGCGTTAATTTGTTTAACTGTATCCTTTGGTATATATGGGGAGACCAAAGTTGTTGAGTAAAAAAAAAGGACTCCAAGACTTATTAGGCAAAAAACAAGAAAAACCCAAAAAACAATGCGGAACTCCGCAGCCCAGGGCCAGGGGGAAGTCCTCCCCGACTCCAGGCTGCATGCAGCGTGCCTGCTTTGAAATGCACAAGAGTCCCCAGCTGACCTCGGGCTCCATGCTACACTGCATGCCGCTAGCAGCCTGGGGTAGAGCATGGCTGCTTTGAAATGCACAAGAGTCCCCAGCTGACCTCGGGCTCCATGCTACACTGCATGCCGCTAGCAGCCTGGGGTAAGCTCCACAGCAGCTGCCCCTTTGAAATGCGCAGAGGCAGCCATGGAGCCCGGGATCGGCTGGGGAGTCCCCAGCTGACCCCAGGTTCCCAGGAAGTGCTGGGTGGAGTAGCAGAGGCGGCAGTTTCAAAAGGGAAGCCACCGCACA